AAATTGAATAATCTCGGCTTACAAAGCAGACACGAACGTGTAATATAATTCTTTTTGTTCATATTTCCTCAGCATGTTTTTTTTTCTATTTAATACTTGTCCAGTGCGGTATTATACAAACAACGTGTACATATTTCCGGCGTTTTTTTTTTTTTTTCAAGTGATGTGCCTCAAACATTGTCTACATTACCTTACGCATTGTGCGTGAAGGCGTATGGTTTGTGGCATCGACTCACATACGAAAATCGATTTATTTTGAGTGACGTTCGTTTATTAACAATCCATCCAACTCATTAGTGTGAGCACTTGGTTGATTCACAGATCGGGCGGTTTAATATCCCATCGTGTGTAAAGGTTGGGGGGTATCTTTTGTTTGACATATACGTTTAGACGTGCTCTTAAACGAGTCCGTGTTACTGCAACATCAACTATCGAAGACTGCACTACGAAAGAGCAAGAACACTGGTCATATTTCACTAGACACCAACGCCGTGCTACTAAATACGACGATTGAACCAAGAAAAAATAAGTCTAAACAAGAACTAATATGTACAAGATATGTATGTCTGCTTATTTCTGATACATGCCTTCTGTTGATTTTATCTATAATAAGTGTCATCTTGACACAATGATAAGGGCAATTAAAATGCAGAACGGGTTAAGTAAGGGCATGTCAGATTACACTTGGTTGTCAAAATATTTTTATCTATTATGTTAACATCTCCCAATTCATTTATTGTTATTTTGTTGATTTTCATTTCAAAAATCTTTTTTGATTGAAATACAAATACTGCACAGGCTAAGTAGTTGGGTAGTGTTTCAATGACCGAAGTGGACAAATGGGGCGGGGAACTATATGATGCACGTCGTCTGAACATTTGGATGTATATGTTAACGATGTGAGAGGATTGCCCCGGGATGAGGCTGAGCGATAAAGATGATAATACATTTTCTATACCGGGATGCATTGCGATACACGATATAATTGTATAGCTGATCAAATTTCTTTAGGGGATAGAACGGAATGTGAGGGAAATATCATAAAATATATACAAAGTGAAAGAACACAAAGTTATTGAAACAGGTGTTTCCTCGAGTTGTTTTCGATAACTATGGGGCGATTCTGCGGCGTCTAAAAATCAATAATTACATGTAGTATACGAATGAAACACGTGTGTATCAGATTATTTTTATCATCGATTCGAGTGAATATGTTCAATGTGTGTCATTGCACCTCGATTTACAAAAAAATAACGCAGGAACGAGTGAATTGGGAAACCTATTATGATATATTGGAAAAATACCTCGCGTGGCGGTGGCCCATGTGATATTAAAGCTTCGATCTCGGTTCACAGATCTATAGGTGTTAAGAAAGCAACAAAACAGGCACCAAAGGAAAAATTATTCCATATTTGGAATTCATGTCTATCGATTTTCACTTGATGGATAAGACACTGCTGAAAACACAAGTAGGCGGCTTATTGGATTGCGGTAGTCGACATCAATCAACAATTTAGACACGCATGCCGGGAGATTTATCGTTCTTAAGGGAACAAGGTGAAAAGAGATACATACATACATATCTATCAGACAGGAATTCTTATGATTTATACAAATAACTTGTTAATTTACCTTCGCTGAACACACCACTTTTATAACGAGAACAGTGAACGCGACTATCTCGTTTGGTTGTCAACATTAATAATATAATACAAAGTGGTAATTTAAAAAAAAAGATATATATATATATATATATATTTACCACAAACACATAAAGTCTAGCAGTCGGCATGTTTTTAATATTATTCCTAACGTTCATTGCATGTTGATATGATAAGAATTGTCAATCGGCAGAAAACTCACATATAGTCACATGTAATATTAAATTCTAGTTAAAATAGTATAATTGCTTTTCAGCGCCTTGATTGTTGTAGTGAATGGGTATTAAAACCATAGCAATAACAATATAGCTTCACCATGAGTATACGAATTTAAATAAGATTCAACAATGAATAAATTAACTTTAAATATTAATGTATTCATCGGCTCACGCAAGAAGTGCTCGATCGAAATACGACTAACATAACACAAATACGGCCTCCCTAAATTATTGTTATTTTTACAGCCCTGGGCTAGCATATTAAAATAACTAATTACAATTAATGCCCTCCCGTATCGATTAATACGCGATGCAAAACCCAGATGTGTATTTGTTGTGAATTGGAATTAATTGGAATTCGAAATGTCAACGAACTAGGCAATGTACTGTGTAATGTATGAGGCGGCCGTTGATCATAACACACGGCTGTTAAAATGTCGTGATCCCCCGAACACACGCCATGGCGGTGAACAAAAGAACGAAGTCTCAACAATGACACGGCAAGCCGTAATTGACTTCGCCATATCTCGCTTTATAACTCGTATATGAGTAGCATTTTATTAGTACCTGTATGATTATGTGAACACGAAATTGAGTTGTCTTTCAATTACATTGTAAACATCAGCATACAACATACGGTTATGTGTGGCGTTTTGTGAATAAGGATTTTATGTTACGACCAAGTGCCGTTCCATTGATCGGTATGACGTAGATACCATTGCACAGGATGTAATGTGAAATTCATATTTAATTTTTTTTAAATAATTTATTTCGAATTTAATTATAAGATTACATGTACGTGTTTATTCTCTCCTCTGCATTGTTATTAGCCAAGAAGTCACATATACGTTGTATCAGTTGATTGTTTTATCAATCCCATAAGCCCTCAGAATATGTAAATTAACCACCATATTGGAATAAATAGATGGCTATTTAATCTGTGTAACTCATGAATATGCAAAACATCAAATTAATTTGCAAGACCATATCTTTAATGTACAGTGAGATACACTTATTAATCAGGGGGCGTTAATGGGTGTTCTTGGTGAAATCACTCTCATCACGTGTGCCGCTGGTTGACTCCAATATGCTCAGTAAACATGCTGAAAATGAATATGTATATATATATTGCCAGTTGTGACAAGTTTTTTTTTTCTCTTTTTTTTTAGTGTAAACATTGTTTTTCACTATTACATGATTTGGATCAATTATCGTTTCATTGTTGTCATTTACAATATTTTTGGTACAATTGTTTTTATTTAGGGATTTATAATCACCAGTTGTTTTGCATATCAGTAATAAGTGTCACTGTGCATGTAGGTTACTAATTCATACATAAGGTTTGGTTGGGGTAACCATGGTGATCATACAAAAAGAGACATTTTGAGTATACATTTTGCCCGTTCCACTGACAGTACCGGTAATGAGGCGAAGCAGTGTGTGCGTTTATTTTCTGTTTTCGTGGTATGAGTCGTTAGTCAACTCATAACCGTGCTGTTTCAAGTGTAACAGTCACACCTGAACACCGAGTGACGTTTTCAATATGTGTCCATAGGTGTACTACAACCATATCAACAGGCAAATACCACAATTACTAACCAGGGCTCACATGAGAAAAATCAGCCTCCAATCAACCTGCGAAAATAAACTAAACTGGGTATTTAGCGAGAACGAGGACAGTTATTATCGTCCACATTAGGTAAGACGTCGTTCGTCTGAAGCTAAGACTGTGTTTAATGGCCGAGAATAGACTTCGGTTTATACTATTGATTCGACTGGGAATTGAACCCCCGCCCTGTTGCGAGATGAACACGTACTGTACCACTGTACCACGCCCAGATTAAGTACACGCACACGCCTATTCGTGTTTTAAAAGCGGTCACATATTGTGTTGACCAAATAACGCGGTGTATTGATTCAATGATGCGATGTATCGACACAATATCGTGGTGTATTGACTAAATGTCGTGGTGTATTGATCCAATGATGTGGTGTATCGACACAATATTGTGGTGTATTGACCCAATGATGCGGTGTATCGACGCAATATCGTGGTATATTGACTAAATGTCGTGGTGTATTGACCCAATGATGTGGTGTATCGACACAATATTGTGGTGTATTGACCCAATGATGCGGTGTATCAACACAATATCGTGGTGTATCGTCTTAATATCGTGATGTATTGACTCAATGATGCAGTGTATCGACGCAATATCGTGCTGTATTGACTAAATGTCGTGGTATATTGACTGAATGATGCAGTGTATCGACGCAATATCGTGGTATATTGACTAAATGTCGTGGCGTATTGACTCAATGATGCAGTGTATCGACGCAATATCGTGCTGTATTGACTAAATGTCGTGGTGTATTGACTCAATGATGCAGTGTATCGACGTAATATCGTCGTGTGTTGACTAAATGTCGTGGTGTATTGACCCAATGATGTGGTGTATCGACACAATATTGTGGTGTATTGACCCAATGATGCGGTGTATCGACGCAATATCGTGGTATATTGACTAAATGTCGTGGCG